TTCACTTAATTTGTCACTTTATATACTAAATTCATTTCTTCCAACCTCTTCAAAGCCTCATATTTCAAAACTGGAGTTTGACAAATTCAAAGGTGACCATACGTCCCGGTTTGGCCGGGACAGTCCCGAATTTCCACCTTATATCCCGGGTTTTTCTACTGATTACGAGCAGTATTTGTACTGATTTAGATCTTTTGTCTCGGGTGGGTCCCGATTTTAAATTTAAAAAAATTATGAAAACAAACGAACACAACTGCTATTTTTTTTTCAAATTAATTATGAACAAAATTGAATAGAATTTTATGCAAAGCTCAAAAGCAAAAAAACATATAGAAACAATAGTCCGCAATTTTGATCAATAGAAAATAATTCATATAAAAAACTTTTTTTATTGTATCCTCAAATAGCTATAAATTGCCGTACCGGTTTTAACTTAAAATAATAATAAGGTGACCATAAAAAAATATGGTCACCTTACAAATTCTATACTCCTGGTTCATACAAAACAATACATTTTTTAAACAGCGATCAGATCTTCAGAGACGATTTTTAATGGAGATTATATTTGAGATCTATAACCTCAAATAAAAATTTGGTATCATACTGCTTGATATCGAGCTTAGCTGAGGTTGAAATCGAATCCTGAACTAGTGCGAGCCTACGTCCTTATCAATTACGCCACGGCTGGCTCTGCATAATATTATTTATGCAGAGCCTGATAATTATTTAACAATAATTTTATGTTTTATTTGTTGATTATTTACTTTGTTGTCAATCATCCTTTTCTATTTAGGTGGCTGGTTCACCATGTTCATGGGAATATTCAGTTACATAGCAGATGTTACGACTGAAGAGACGAGAACTCTTCGAATTGGAGTTGTGAATTTATTCTGTTCCCTTGGTATTCCATTGGGCATGGCATTAAGTGGCATATTATTGAAAAAAATCGGGTTCTATGGAGTATTTTCTGTGTCTGCAGTAATGTACATGATTGCATTTTGCTATGGATACTTTGGTATCGAAGAAAGCAATAAAATAAAAGTGGATAAGGTAAATTTCATCTACAAGGTAAATTTTAACCAAACAATAACCAACTTAAATTAAATCCCTTATTTCAGGACATTAAAGAAGACGAAAGGATGTGTTCATCTTTGCGGAATTTCTTCGACTTTAATCACGTAACAGATACATTCCGAGTTGCATTTAAAAAAACTGAAGGTAATAGAAGAACGCGCGTAATAATGTTGATGGTCGTCGTCATGGTAGTCATTGGTCCAATGCACGGTGCGTAATTAAAGTACTTTTCATAAAAAATGAAATACAAAATACTTAATAAAAATATCGTTCAGGCGAAATCGCCGTGATGTACCTATTCACACGATATCGTTTCAATTGGAACGAAGTGGATTTCAGTATTTTCCAAACATACAGTATGGTAACAAACTTAATAGGTACAGTATAATGGAAACTGGAAATGAAAAATAAAATAACGTATCTGATTATAGTTATTATTAAACAGGCACGCTATTTTCTGTGGGCGTTTTTAGTCACATACTGAAAATAGATGATGCATTGATAGGCGTCATGTCGACCATGAGCAAGATCTTATCTGGCTTCTTGTATGCATTCGCCGTTACTAAGTGGCAAATTTATTTGGGTAAGATAACATTCAATCATATTAATTTTCAATAAAAGGAATCGATAAGCGAAAATAAAAAATATCTGCATCTTTTAAAACTAAGTAAGATTGTTTTTATTACAGCACCTATCATAGAAATTTTGAATGGCACATCTTTCATAGCGATGAGATCCATTGCATCAAAACTAGTTCCAAGTGATGAATTAGGTAAGAAAACAATTTGGAAAATAATGAAATGAAACTTACGACAATATATTTCCACTGGTTAATTTTAGGTAAAGTTAATTCTTTGTTTGGGGTTTGTGAAGCTATGATGCCACTGGTGTACGCGCCTATTTACACATCGCTTTATGCAGCTACGATTTATACTCTTCCAGGAGCCTTTTTCTTGCTGGGCGGATTCCTTACAGCACCCGCAGTTGCAATATTCTTGTAAGTTGTATTGGTGGAAAAATAATACAAGCATACATTAAATAACGTATCATATTCCCTGAAACATAAAAAAGCAAAATAATTAAACAAATGTTTAAGGAAATGACTATTTTTTAACCTTGCTAACTAGAAAGTTCGATAGATCAACTGATTTCTATCTATTTATTCAATTTTTTCCCTAGATGGATGTATACAGTTCATAGAAAAGAAAGAAAACAACAAGCTGAAGCAAATGCAACACGAGATACATCAAATACAACCATACCTAATGGTGTTGATAATACCGCCTTCGTTAACGAAGAAAACACCCATAACAAACAGACAGCTACCTTGTGAAAAAAGCGACGTATAAAATGCATTGTTTTCAAGTGCGTGAAACATCAAATCTTGCCAAATAATGAACATCACACCGAAAACTATAATTCCGTCCCATTATAGACTTAACTTGCAAAATTATTAAAAGTGCTTCGAAATTCAAAAAAGTAGTTAAATGGTTTTAACATCGAAAAGAATTGTGCTTTTTTGGAATGCAGCAATAATAGCATTAAGTGTATCACTACAATTTGTAGATCGATAAGGCACTGAGGTTTGAAAAACTGTAACAACATTGTTTAAATAAATAAATATATATATATATATATATATATATATATATATATTTAAAAGAGAAAAACAGGGTACTCAAATTTTGATGACCTAAACGCATAGTTTTGGGAAAATTACCATCCTCATTATTAATGCATGTGATTACAATAAATATAGTTCTAAATATAAATTATCTATATACAGGTTGAAGAATATATGAAAAATTATTCCAATTTATTATGTTCAGTACTAAATAAAATTAGGATATGTATGTATAGAAGCGATGACTGAAGTATTATTAAACAGTAATGATTAAGTATCAGTTAATTGAATTAATAGTATCCAGAATTGTACGAGTATATTTATATTAAGATAATTATATTTTGAAAGAGTAGAAAAACGTGATTCAAAAAAAGCTTTTGTAAAGAGATTGTAATAAAGAAATGTAAATAAAGATTTATAAATAAATTTTATAAGGTAGTTTCAATTAATTTAGTTTATAATAACATAAAAAAACTTAAAACAGAAGTTTGATAAATATAATTGATTTTTCAACACAAGAATATTGATGTCTACAGAAACGAAAAACCATTACAAGCACAGTTCACAATTTCGGTCACAACAACGTGTCAAAAAGTACATATAACATAGAAAACAGCTCAACGCAATAATTTACTTAAATGCAGCAAACCAGCATAAGTAAATTTGCACTCAACAGCCATAAAATAAATTTAAATAATGAGGAATACAATCACAAATCCTACTGCCACTGTATATACACAACAACAAACTGAAAAACTGAACTTCAAAACTTAATGAAGAAAACTGAATTAACAAATTTAGCAAGACTTTATTGGAAATATTTGTCATTTGCTGTTAATAATTAATCAAATGAATACAATGCATATGTTATAACCAATTCTAAGATCACGGTATATAAGCTTTTTTGCAAAATGCTTTATGTATTAAGAATCTGATATTTACAATATGCAATTTATTATAACAAAAAATATACTTTGTTCAGAAACATCAAATTTCTATCTTAATTTCACGTCAGCACTTACTTGATAGCAAATCAGAGCTGATAGCGAAATAAACTAAAATTTCTAATTACAGGAAACTATTATTTAGAACACATGTATTCAAAATTATGAAAAATATATGATAATTATTATAACATAGATTTTATAAAAATAAGTCAAATATATGTATATATATAAATATATGTATATATGTGTATATATAATACATATATTTTTAATAATTTTTGTAACATTTCCAAACATATATATATTAAAAGATGCCAGATATTTTAATGTTAAACTACAAAAATTCAATACCCAATTAGTATGTTTTTTTTTCAGTAAAACCCAATTCTATGTATAGGCAAATATATCTCTATATTTCTACCCAATCATCGCAAGACTGTAAAAACATTAACATTAGCCATTATTAAGTAAGTATATAAATATAACTCAAATTATTTAGATTGCAACCGTACAGAATAGTCAATATACACACATATATATATGTATTAGCAAGTTATGCAAATATACATATATATAGTATACATTTACATATTTATAATAGTAAATAACATATCCCTATCACTACAATTCGCAAATTTTTATTACTTTTCTTCTTCAACTAGTAAGTATATAATAAAGAAATTATAGGTATATATATAAATCAAAATAAATTGGAGCAATTATTTTTTTGCTTAGGTGCACCACCATTATAAGTGAGACATGAATCGCTACTGCACAAATTGTCAGAGCCGTGTTGATTTGTTCATTAGTTTGCATTTTACATAGCGTCGCTTATATTAATAACAATAAACGTGGTAATCATTTATATTTTTGCAAAATTGTTTTGCCTAAAATTTTCAAAATACATAGCTCCCTGCTGAAAGCTCAACAGTTAACATATCACGGAATGTTTATATATCTAATTTTATTTCTAATTATCCTTGGATCAAAGATATGATTACTAAAAACTGAAAAGCAAAAAATGAAAATAATGCTAGAAAAAGCAAACATAATATCCAATTAATTTGTTTAAGAACACATTCAGCATATAACTGTACACAGTTAGCATATTCATATCACAATCAGCTTGAACAAACTGATAAATATCAATGTCATTTCCACATACATTATTTTTAACTGAATGTGATTTATGTGCAAGGGCAAATTTAGAATTATTATAGAAAAATGCTATAAAGAAACTAATTTTAACATCCTATAATTGTACAGATCAACATAATGCTAGATTAAAACTTAAGAAATATTTTTCATCCAGCAGTAGCTTTAAATCGCATTTAAATGTAAATTATAGAAAATTAAATATTGTCCAGATGATATTCGGAAGAAAATAAGTCTGTTATGAACATTCATTGTAACTATTTATTTTGCGTCCACAATATACACATAAATTATGAATTATGTGAGATATGTGGTCACTCACAGACGAGATATGCCAAACTCTCCCCATTTATCCAATAGCCCTAGAAACAAAATATTTGTGATTACAATTTTTGTAAATTTCAAGATGCTCCAATTCTATTTCATTGAATTCTAATGCATTTGTAATGTTGGAAAAACTAACTACCACTCTAGTTTACCATTTTTATGATTACTTCACTTCAAAGAACTGCATAAGCAGATAAATCCAAATAAAACGGAATTAAAGAGATATAACCTTTTTCTTAAAAAAACTTACCCTCCAGTTATAGATAAAAATATCACTAAACACCAAAAAAAGATATTTTACTGAAAGAATCAATACATTCAAGCACTTGTTCTCAATTATTAATTTTAACATATCTAATTGATAAGTTAATAACATATGGCCCGGTAAATTCATTTTGAGAATACATACTGTAACATCCAAATAATAAATAATTACGTTGTTTTAAAAATAAATAAATAAAAAAACGTATATTAATATCAGCTAGTCCTTATTTTCATAATAATCGTCCAAACAAGTTGCTAAAGCTAATCAAAAGTAAATACATACATGAATACTATAGATATTTGGTTATTGGCAGCATTGCTTGCGGACACTGTCCGGATTGACAGTAGGTTTAACATCAATTGGCTCTACATTTTGTGGCCTGATAACATCACCCTCTGGAGGATCACGTATTTGCTTCTGGGAAACAATTCTGTAGATCTCTGTAAACAAATCGAAATGAATAATAATTAAAAAAATATAAATATAGAAAGGTAAATGAATATCCTTATGTATTACCTGTAAGGATATTTTGAAAGGCTGTTTCCACATTAGTAGAATCAAGAGCTGAGGTTTCTATGAAACTCAAACCATTTCGTTCAGCAAACACCTTCGCTTCATCTGTAGGCACAGCCCTAAGTGAAGCAAGAATACCATTTTATTATAAATAAGACTGCAAAATACTAACCAGCCAAACAAACTTTTTATGTAAATGTTTTGCACAATCAATAAGAAGCAATTAAAATAGTTGAAGGAATAAAATATTAACATAATTGAAAGTAAGGCTCATGTAAACATGAGCATTACAGAATTTCTGAAAAATTAGATAAAATATAATGTCAAATGTATTCACAAATGATGTTTAAAAGGACATACAACAATATAATTACTTGACCAAAATAAAATAATTGAATCGATAACAATTGACAAAATATTCCAAATTATAAATAAATGTAGATAAATATTTTGCACCATTACATGCACATATAATGCACCATTACATGCAAAATAATGTATGATCTAAAAAACAATATGATACAAGAAACCACTTTATACAAAATTTGGTTTTTGCAAAAATCTTACCTCAAATGTCTCAGATCAGATTTGTTTCCCACAAGCATTATCACTATATTCTGATCAGCATGATCTCTTAGCTCTCGTAACCAACGTTCTACATTTTCATAAGTTGGGTGCTTTGCAATGTCATAAACTAAGAGAGCACCAACAGCTCCTCTATAATAGGCGGATGTTATAGCTCTATACCTTTCTTGGCCAGCAGTATCCCATATTTGCGCCTTAATTGTTTTACCATCAACCTAATAGAACAAATGACTTGATAATGAATAAATCACAAATTAATGACTTCAGTTTGTGTTCATATTTAGAATTAAAATCATTCAAATTAAACCTAAATGATCAAGTACAAATATCAAAAATATAGTTAAATTGATATGAACAATGAAATCGTTTTCATGTTATTTAATTTTTGTATCAGACAAAGCATGTTTTGAAACAAAAATATATTCAATAGAACACTTGAATGAGAATGCAATAATAAATTACTGGAAACAAGACATTGAAAAAAAAAATTATAACAGGCTTTCTTCTTATACAGGCTCAAGTTCTTATTTTGAAAATTGTAACACATGCATCATAAGGAACTTGAATTCCTTAAGAATTCTTTATGATAAGGTCTTAATCAAAATTTCTTAATTTGCATTGCAGCTTTAATTGACATATGTTAAATTTTTGTAAGGTTTTTCTTCATTAATATCATGGTACAATTGTTTTAATATAAATCATTTGAAGCAATTTATGGCCATAACTATCAGCTTATAAAAACATAAGTTTTGATATAGTGATAAAATTTAAAAACCCATCCCATATTTGCGCCTTAATTGTTTTATCATCAACTTAATAGAAGAAACGACTTGATAATAAATCACAAATTAATGACTTCATTTTGTGTTTAAATTTGGAACTGCTCCAAAATATAGAGTTTAATTATAAGCAAAACCTTAAATAAAAAACAGTAAATCACTCAAATTAAGCCTAAATGATCAAGAACAAAGATCAAAATTATAGCTAAATTGATAAGAAATTGTTTCCACAGGATATTAATTCTAAAAAACTTAATACAATAAGTTAATAATGATCACTAAAGTGATTTTTAATAACTAATTTCATAAACAAAAATTTGAATGAAGTAAAATCATTCAAATGAAAAGTAAATGATCAAGTACAAATATCAAAATTATAGTTAAATTGATATAGAATGATATCGTCTCCACGTGATTTAATTATTGTATCACACAAAGCAAGTTTTGAAACAAAAATTTATATTAAATATATATATATATATATATATATATATATATTAGTAGAACACTTGACTGAGAATGTAATAATAAATGACTGGAAACGGAAGATTGAAAAAAATACAATTTTTATAACAAGCTTTTTAAGTTCTTATTCTGAAAATTATAACACATGCATCATAAGGTACTTGAATTTCCTTTAAGTCTAGAATAAAATTTCTTAATATTAAACAAATTTACGTTGCAGCTTTAATTGTCTCTATTCTCTCTATTCATATCATTGTACAATTGTTTTAATATAATTTATATTAAGCAGTTTATGACCATAACTACCAGCTTATAAAAACATAAGTTTTGACATAGCAACAAAATTTAAAAACAAAAGTTCCTATTATATTATTTTACCTTCCATTTTCTTCAATGTTCTATCATTTATTATACCTGTATACTCCTCGTTGCAAACTCAACTCCAATTGTGGATTTACTCTCAAGATTAAATTCATTTCTAGTGAAGCGAGAAAGCAAATTACTTTTTCCTACACCCGAGTCTCCTATTAGCACCACTAGAAATAGTTTTATCATTACAATACATTATCAACCTATGAGTAATGGCATGGAAAAATATGCAAACATAATTACGTCATTTTGACAACTCAAAAATTTACATTTAAGGGAAAAAATACCAATGGTTAGAAAACACACGTAGAAAACCATATATTTTTAAACATAGTGAGAAAAATTGCTTTGCTGCATCATCACTTTAAAAAACACTTTGCACAATTACAAAGATGAATAGGTCAATAAAATTAAATTATGTAGAGAATTTCACAGTAAAATAAAAGCTCACGTAAATCGAGCCACATGATTAAAATTTAATAGCATTTAGGATTAAATTAAGCATAAAAATGACAATTCATTTACCTTTGAACAAATAATCGTATTCGTCATCTCGAGTTCCCATTATTCTGAGTTTATATAGGTATGTGTTTCGAGTAATTCACAAATATCACTCACTAAATCCTACTTAAAATAATACTAACTAACAAGTAACAAATAACAATAGATAAACGCTAAATTTATAACTGACCATCTATTAAACTATAACGATTGTTTAAAACATAAAGAATTATTTGAACGTCGACTTTTGTAATATGGCCGTCAGCGCAAATGCTTTTATTACGCCCCTCTACATGGCATGCGCGGCCGTGTGACCAGATTTACCAAACTGATCATATGAAATGTTCGACGAGATTCAAATTAACAGAACTACAACACTAATTTAAACGATACTTTAATTTTAATATTATCAAAATTGGTCGAAATTATTTTCTAGTTAATTTTAGAAACGAATTCAATTGTTTTTTAGTATTGTTGATACTGTAAATAATCCACCGAGATTGGTCACAAAAATACTCAAGATGCACGACAAATGACAACTAGTGGGCATGACACCGGGCCTTAAGGCAAATTGCTGGAACTTCTCGTACCGCAATTATTTTTTTTTAATTCAAAACTTTTTTAAAATATAGATTTTTGAGAATTTTGAAATTTTTGTCTAATGACCATTTTTGACCGCTAAGTGGATTTTTTTCCTTTTTTTTCATTGAATCTCCGAAAACGCTAGACCTACCTTCTTAAAAATTGTATCATTTTGTCAATACAAATAAAATGTTTTTTGAATCATTCAAATCGGGCGCTCCGTTATCTCAAAAACTAAATTACCATTTTTGGCACGCTTTGCCCCGTATCTTCGAAACGGCTGGACCTGCCATAGCCAAAAACTAATCAGCACGTCTTCGCATTAATAGGAATCGAATATTTTTTAAATTATTGAAATCGGTTGATCCGTGTTCCCGAAAACGTCGGCAAAAAATTGTATCCGCACATAAATGCATACCATACACATACATATAAAAACACACACATACATTTTTTTCTAAGGCATGCCAAAGTGTTCAGAAACCTTTGAAACGTAAAGATTCTCATTTTCGATTTTTTGCGATTATTATACCCTACGGGAAGTTAAAAAACTGTGTAACTTTATGCATCATTTTACTATAATTAAATAAGTAGTTATCATTTCCAATTAAATAAGTAGTATTAACTTCCCATAGTAATGGGCCAAAAATCGAAAATAAAAATTTTTGCATATTTTCACGTTTTAAAGGTTTCTGAACATTTTGGCATACCTCAGAAAAAATTGATGTGTGTGTGTGTTTTGTATGTCCGCATTTTTTCGTCCACGTTTTCAGGCGCACGGATCAACCGATTTGAATGGTTAGAAAAACATTCGATTCCTATTGATAGGGTGATATGCTGATTAGTTTTTGGCAAAGGCAGGTCCAGTAGTTACGGAGATACGGAGCAAAGAGTGCAGAAAATACAAATCGAGTTTTTGAGAGAACGGAGTATCCGATTTGAATGATACAAAAAACATTCAATTTGTAATGATTCGGAGAAAATGTGATTGGAAATGTTTTTGACAAAGGCAGGTCCAGCCATTTCGAAGATACAGAGTTAAATATGCAAAAAATGGCAGTTTTTGAGAGAAATAAGCATCCGATTTGAATGATTCAAAGAACTTTCTGGTTGTTTTGACAAAATAATTGTTTTTAGAAAAAAAAATTGTTTAATTTTTTTTTTCAAAAATTTTTTTTTTGTATTTCGAAAATAATTCAGATTTTAATTTTAATTCTGTTGTAATATACTTTAAACAAACAATTTTAACTTTTTAATTCAGTTTATATAATTCTTATAAATATTAGGCAATGTTACAGTATTTATATATTTGTAATAAATCTAGCTGAAAACATTTAATATTCCTCGAATATTTCGTTACGGTACGGGAAGCTCCAGCAATTTACCTTAAGGCACTGTGCCATACACCACTAGTTTAAATTATATTTTTGTTTTATACATTATTTTTGATAACCAAAACCATTATAAATACTTGTTTGTATTTATCTTTGACCAAAACCCTTTCGCCTATTTGCAGGTGCATAATGTTAACCTGTCGTTTTAAGTAAATATTTGACAGGAGGCCACACTATTTTAGATACGATTGCTGATAATTATTTAAATTCAAAGGAAACTCTAAGAACAATATTTTTAAATTGCTTGTGATATATACTAAGCTATTTTGTTTATATTTGTACCATAATTTAAATTTTATGGAATTTCAAAATTCCATCATGATGAATCTTAATTGGAATTTGAAAAATTAAAGTAGATAATTATGTTATTGTTTAATCTTTCTTATCTATTCTTCAATTAATCATGTCTATAATCCAAACTTATAAATAAATGTATTTGTTGACTCAAGAATCTTCTTCAAGAGTACAAAAATTTCATGCAGTAACACTTCAACATTGCCCTAAGTTGTTAGTTCATGGGTTCATTAAAGTTCAACCTGTGATGTTGGTTTAGTGTTTGTTTTATTTTTGATCCATTTGTTTTGATTTACTATTACCCATGTTATTTTTAGCTTAAGTTATGTACCTATATCTTCTTTACTGCAAATAAATGCCATTGTGATTTTTTAATATGTTTTTATTGAACTGAGCTGTCCGGAAGAGCATCAAAACAATATCTTACAGGTTAACTGTCATAATGAGAGTGATAAGACTTAAGTGCCACAAACGCTTTTAGAATAATATTTTTACATAAAATTATTTATTTTAAATGCTTTAATAACTGTAATAACGGTTGCAGTTATTGTGATTAGCATTTTATAATATATTGATTACGAAGTGTTTTTTTTTTGTATACATGCATATGTGAAACACAGATAATAAATCTCTTGAATTTTGTGATATATGAATATGAATCATACTTAAAAAGATAAAACTGTGACTTTAACTTTAGTAGCCGTAATTTGCTATAAAATATGGTCAAAAAGTAAATATATATAAATCCTACTAATTTAAAAATTGTTACCCATAGAATAACTTTGTCGTATGTTCAGGATAATATTGTTCAATTCAAATGAATTTGCATTTTGATAGAGATAATATATCATAAAATAATCATCAAAGTTAGAAAATGTGTTTAGAGTTAATTATCATTATCCTTTGATATTTACTTTAAATATGACTTTACCCCAAACCATTTATTTCTTACAGATCTCCCGCCATGGAACAATCAATTGTAGACTCTGTCGATGATAAATCACTAGTAGGAGCTGGTTTATGCCTGACTGTAGAATTGTGTCTTGTTTGTGGAGACCGTGCATCTGGACGTCATTATGGAGCCATCAGCTGTGAAGGATGTAAAGGCTTCTTCAAAAGATCTATCAGGAAACAACTTGGATATCAATGCAGAGGAACTATGAATTGTGAAGTCACAAAACACCATCGAAATCGTTGTCAATATTGTCGCTTACAGAAATGTTTAGCATGCGGAATGAGAAGTGATTGTGGGTATATAAATTAAAGTAACATAGTAAATGTAATTATTGATTGTGAAATGTTTCAGCCGTTCAACATGAACGTAAACCAATAATGGAAAAGAAAGAACCAGCTCATAACACTAATTCATATTCTTCAAACGCTGCTGTTAATAAAATCTTCATTCGCAAGGATTTGGCCACTGAATCGACTATGCCTGTGTATCCTGGATTTAATTTGTCTGATCTTAATATTTCGGCACTGAACAAGAAATCAGGTTTGTAAAAGAAATTCATAAATCAATTTAATACCAGTGGCTATATCAATATTTTGTTCAGGAAAAATAAATCCAGCTGATGTGTATTACATGAATACTGAACAAATGGACGATGAAACATCACAAGATGAATCTATCAATCAGCCTATAGTTGATATCACAGAAGCGTTATCTATTGCTATAAATAAAAATTTAATTTCTAAAGCTCTGAACACAATGGCTAAAGTGCAATCTTTCAGTGAACGAGATTTTGATAATAATATAGAAGTTGATGATCCTTTGATCCAAGAGGGAAATGTTTCATTCAACTTACAGAGTTTAAGTCCAGTTCCTGCTTGTCTGAATGTTCACTTTATTTGTGAAAGTGGTTCCAGATTATTATTCCAATCAATCAACTGGGCTAAAAGCATTTTAGCATTTAAACAAATATTATGGTAAAATGAGCTTAAATAATTCTTTTCGATGTAAACTACTTAATTTAATATTTATCTAACCTTGTAGTCTAGACACACAAATTGCTCTCTTAAGAAGTTCCTGGGCTGAGTTGTTTGTGCTTGGGTTGGCACAATGTTCCCAAACACTGTCTCTTCCCACGATCATGAAGGCTCTCATTAATAATCTCCAAACATCAATAATTCAAGAAACCATATCTGGATCAAGAGCAAAGCAATTGTCTGACCACATTTGCAAAATGCAAGATTTTGTCAATTCTATGTGTATTTTGAATGTAGACAAATATGAATATGCTTACTTGAGAACCTTGGTATTATTTAAAACTGGTAAATAAATATAATAAAATGAAAATTTTGTTATTTTCTGCAAATACTTTAGCAAACTGACTTATTTTAGACATTACAAACTTGCCTCCACAAAATCATGTGAGTTATCTACAAGAAAAATGTTTTCAATCTTTAAGAAAGTATGTGGTATGCAATTTTTCTGAAGACGAAGATCGTTTTGCAAGACTTTTACTAAAGTAAGAATAAATCATTTAATTATGTAGCACATAAATTCTGGCATAACTTAATGCAATACGTTTTTAGATTACCTCCTTTGAGAGACTTTGATCCAAGAGTTTTAGAGGAACTGTTTTTTACTGGTCTTATTGGGCCTGTGGAAGTGGAGAATGTCATTCCTTATATGCTTCGATCTAATTACTCTGGTAAGTCAAAGGTTTAACTGTAATATAATTGTATTTATTGTAATGAATTTAATGTGACTTGTTATTCTCTTTAGGTAACAATAGATCAATTAAGATAGAAATGAATGAAGCGTGAAGAAAATCAAACACTTGGGCTGTATTGAAAATTTTAATTGTTAAGCTGTTTGCTGTATTGAAAATTTTAATTGTTAAGTATATGGAACTGTTTTAGAATTCTTAAGATTGGCTAAAATATTTTAGGCAACATTTGTACAAAGACTCATTTTTATACTACTTACAACAGTGCCTTAAATATGTTTTAAGCACTGTGATATAAAAAAGTGATGGTATTCTGATTAGGTTTACATATGGAAATAAGTTAAAACATTTAATTTATTATGTACTTAATTATGTTTAATGCCTCATGGCAGAGTATGGTTGTGATTGTATGGATTGGATTCACTGAAATATTTAAAGTACAATGAGATACCTTACATTATATTGTACAAAGTATATATTTTATAATAATTATAAAAATATGGTTATTAGCACATTTTTTGTATGTAAACTGCTATTTTTGCTTAAATAAAAATAACTACACATCTAAGATTCTTTTTTAAGTTTAAGTGAATATTTCACATGATGTAGAAGAACATTAAAAATAGATTTAAAAAATATATAATTATGATTGTTTAAAATCATAGTATAAAATTATTCAATGTTAAACTAGGACAAATGTACTACCCTAATTCTAATATTAACAATCCAAAAAATTTAAATATTTCAAACTTAACGACAAAGTTTAAAGTAATAGTAAAAGCTAGATAGTTACAACATAGGACTGTTGCACTCCGTTCATATTATTTTCAGTGTGATTATTAATATGACGCGTTCGTTTAGCTGCTTTTTTAATTTCTTGTTCACGTCCGGCAAGGAACATGGCCAATCTTTCCTGAAATTTATGCAAATATTTATGAATCTGAAAATTCAAAATATAGCATTAATTGAATTTTAAATATAGAATCATTTTAGGTTTAGTAGCAATGCTATGATTATTAAGATGATGCAGAAATATTGAAAAAGATAGATGATATCTTAAATCTCATTGGAATAAAGAATAAAATAAAACATGATTCAGATGTAATGGTTTGATGTCTAGTGTCCCCATGTAATCCATAAATGATATTTTGTCTAAGCATTTAAAATATAAGCATATTTACCATTACTCAGTGTAAGCATTTAAGAGCAGCACATAAATTTTACACACGGAACAAGATGGGCCAAGACGTTAAGCAAATTAAAAAACTAAGCCAAACGCGAAAGCGCGAATTTAGCATAACTATTTTTGTGGATCAATTTGACACATACCTATTTGACTAATTTAAGTTTTAATTCCATGTAGATTTAAATGATCGGCAAAATGTACATCTGTAATTAGAAATATAGTTCGCTTAACGAAAAACGTTCATCACTTGTGATATGCGACATGCATGATGTCTTAAGACCTCATTATTGTGATAACTTGCATAAATTATGAAGGATTATATAAAAATAGTAAGCTATATTATGAATCATTAGTAATGAATATTATATATATTCCGAAATCACTATAAAGCTTTTTGATCTAATAATATCCAAGTACCGATTATGTTAAGCAATCCACCCAAATGTATAAAAGGATTATTCTATTTAAAAATGACGATTATAAAAATCGTTATAAGTTTGAGAACTAACCAAAATATTCTTAGTATAATGCTGCAACTCATCAAGAAGCGCTTGAATTTGAGCGGCAGTCCTTCTGGACTCCCTCAGAATTTGTTGTTTCGCACCCTCCAAATGAATACGCTAAAATATTTTTACTTGTTATTGGAGTAAATTCAAATATTACTCAATATTTTAATTTAATATAGTCCATAAACTACTGAAAATATGCCGTACTTCGTTGAAGTTTATCGTCGTCTATAGTCGAAAAAAATAGATTGTTCAAGGGTTTTGAAAAATCTCAAGTTTCAATTAAAAGAAAGCTAAGAAATCACTCAAGTTTTACCTTTAATATAGCATCGCCAAAAGCCATACACCGGTGCAGACCTACTTGTATGTGAGCAGCAGTTGACCTGTAAATAGAATGGACATATAATATCAATGAATGAATATATTCAAACTAATTTACTTGAAGAAAAACTTATGAAATTGTATTAAAATTTAATTTATTAACTTATGTATCGCTTATCGAGACTTGCTTGAAGATTTATCATTGATGGCGAGTAAAATTATTGTGAGTTCTTTGTATTATAATTTTAGTTGAAGTTAATTCTTCAGAAATTAACTTTTTAAATTTTGAAATTATTATGTATGTTATGTATGTTTGTATTAACGTTAATTGCTCTGCAACAAAATTGTCAACTGTAACAAATACTTGGACGCCTAGCTGATGGTCAATACAGCAGTGTCACTTCTGCGAAAAGCAATGTGGCAGCTAAAGGTTTGATGAATTATACATCATAAATAATTAAACTGGTAAAATTTTACAAATTCGTCTTAATATAGATGAAAAAAATAAGGAACAAAGCAATTCCAGATCATGATTTGTTTTAAAAATTGATACCTGGGTAAGTTTGATACGCCTTCACCAGCATAATTAACAAGATGTACTAAGCGACGGGCCGACTCGCGGGCTAGCATGACCAGCAATTGCTCAAGAGTATCTGGGCGGGCCTGATTTTCGGGCTCGTCCAGGCTAAGACTGTGCCATAATTCACGTGCTTTGCGCATAGCCAATCGGGGATCGGTAGCAATCTAGAAATATATAATAAAATAAAAATTAAATAAACCCTATATTGCACACTGACCTGTAATAAGTAATGATGAAATAATATATGAATCCAAGTTCGACATTATAATGAAGACCAAATCGTTAAACAATCCTTTAAGAATAGATGAGCCAATATTTATTTAGCCATATTGCTAAGAGTTTTTGATATAGTATGGTTGGTCGACGTGTTTTCTCGATCCAGAATGCTTTATTTTCGTTATTGTATAGAATTTACTCATCATATCCGATAAAATTATAATATTGCTTATTAAATATTATTGCTTATTTACCAATTCCGCAATATAGATGATAACATGTATCTGTTCCTTGATAGCCTTAGCCTCTGCCATAGTGCGTCTCGTCAGACGTCTTTGCAACTTTCTTGAGAATCTGTCCACTCGATGCATAGTTTGTACGGCTTTACTGCCACCATCTGATAAGTGAATATTAGACTCTGAAAATCAATTCATATTTATTTTCATAATGCATTGACCTGTGATATTGATTAATAATTTACCGGTTTCAGGTAACTCGGTAGAATCCGGTAAGTATTTGTCGACATATTTATCAGCGACATCCAGAGCGCCTTCTAACCTGTAAAATTCAGATAAAAGGTCAGAGGAAAGAAGTAAGGTAGAATTATTGGATATGGTTTTGGTAGAAATTTACCTGTCAGCAGCAAAATTGCTGACACGACTATCTAGAACAGCGTTTCCTAAATGTTTAACAGAATCCGCACGTCTTAAAACAGGCTTCACAAGATGATCAGACATGTATTCTTTGGTGTTCCAATACATCTAAAATTGGAGATACAATTAGCATGAAGACATCTTGTAACAATATATATCATTAGGCAATCATCTAACCAGTTGTGGAGGTAAATAAACAGATGGAACACGCTGTTCGACGATGTCCAGGCTGCGACATAAAAATTTATCAACGCGGTCGATTGATCCCTGCAGCATGACTACACCAGGCAACGCGTAACGGGATAAGGAAGCAATGCGTTCTTCGGCACGAGTCAAAGTCCATCGCATTAGCGAATTACTGCGCTGTAAATAATAATAAAGAATTAATAAATATTTTTGTATTGCAAATTAAAATCATTACACTTACTTTAATTTTGTCGTAGTAGTTTTCTGCTAAACCCATGCTACATTCAACTATAGGAATGCTGGCAATACGTGAGACAGACTCCATCTGAATAGGAAGAAGGCCATCCCGTTTCGAATTAGCACTTCGTCGCACTGAAAATTTAAAATATTAAATGAATATTGCCGGTCAGTAACATCTATCACAAATTATTAAAAGTAATTTTATTTAATCATAATTGGCACTTAGAATAAATTACACCGATCTATATTTTATTTTTAGCCATTGAAAGAAACAACAGTTTCTTAAATTTAGTATATTGGCGATGGTTTATTGTTTAATTAGCAAGTGTAAACTACATTAATAAAAACGCAACAAATTGATTAGAAAGACAGTTATAATACACTCGGTTAAATCATCATATTAATATGTATTTATAAATGAAGATAGCAATTCAATTACTAACAGAAACCAATTCAGATAAACCTTGATCTCATTAAAAAAATAAAAAACTACGTACATTGCTGTTATTCACAGTTATAATTAATCGCAATACTTGATTTCCGGGAGAAATGTAATATTGTGAGCTTATAACTTACAGATTAAACCGCAAGTAATTTAGAATACATAAATATCAGAATATGCGAATACTGGTAAACCAGAGTATTAGTCTAGTCATTTATGCTTAAATTGGTAAGAAGCTCGGAATTTGCGATACC